ATAGTTTTATTAATAATTATTATGTAATTTCGAGAAATAAAGAATCAACGACAAAACTTTTCAGCATCCCCACGTATATTAGTAAATGTTATTGTAGTCGTGAGTTAATTGTCACGGGTGAGTCTTCGCGTCGTTACTTCCAAGAACAAGGACAACCTAACGTTAGATAGGTAAGGCAATATAATCACCTGGTTCTATAAGAAAGCTCTCAAGGTTCGCAAGAAGAGAAGGGAGGGCAAGACTGATTTTTAAAATCACGGGTTGATTACCTTGATTGTGGTTGTGTAGTCTAAACAAAGACTTATTGATAGTTGATAATAAGTGTCATCTTTCGCGTCCACTCATACATACGCAGACGCCCAAAGCACAACCATGTAAAAATAAAACCGGAAGTCGCAAATCCGGATCGACTGTCAACAAGTCTTTATTTGGATACAATCAATGCAAACAACCGAGCGTATATTCGTCATTTTCTGTTCTTGTTCTTCCTTCTGTTTGCTTTCTTTTCTTCTCTTGATCTTGCAAGTGCTGAAGCAGAATGTACAAACTATTTACCTAATTATAAAATCTAAACGAGAAGAAGCCAAAATATGGGTAACTTCGAGCTTCAAAAACGCTGACAGTCTTCCTCAAAAGCGTGCTATAGAGTCAGGTGATTAGACTTAGTATCCGAAGTTACGCCATCATTGTTTTTGAAAGTAGACTCGCCCTTATATATTCAGAGATCATGGTGTACACGCAGAGATGTATTGGATATAACTTTTGTTGATGTATATTTATTATTATTGTATGTCTAAAGTACGATCAAGAAGATTGGAATACAATATTGACGGAATTAAACAGCCAATTATTAATATGCGGTATGTAACAGAATTTCTTATTCGCTCAGTAATGTGCTCGTACTTAACATCGATTCGCTAACCTTGATATTTACTAGTCCATTCTCCGGAAGAATGCGACTGGGAAAACTCGTGAGAATAATACAAACTTTCACCGTTTCGAATCGTACTTTGTACAACTTTGTGGTTCTCCATTTCGTATTACCGTATTCCAAACAACGCATTCTTGTTATGGCAATTTCCTACACAAACTTGTATATCCTCTCTCTCATCCAGTTCATCATCACTCAAGTAAGAGTTCTAATTGCTTATAAGTATACTATTATACCATCCTTCCTAACATTTCAACCAGCCATGCAGGCTCACATCAGTAACTTCAATCCTGTAATGGTATTGTCTGATTACTGTTATGTGCAATTACCTTCCTCTAATCTCCTTATCCTGGCAATCTAGGGCTAAATTGATATTTTGTACTTTCAAATTATCTCAAGAGGAAAGCTTTATAATAATTACTTAATTTTCTACTTACAGTCAACTGCCTATAATTCGACCGCTTGCGTTCCGAGGTTATCGATCGAATTAACGTACAAGTCGAATTACCGTCAGTTAAAAATGTTCTGTAGCCAGTGGTCGAAGTGACGTATAAATCGAATTAAAGGGCAGTTGACTGTACTCCAATAATTGGATTTATGAAATGCTTGGCAATATACTAATGCAGGATATACCATTCCTGTTTTAAATTGGATTGACAAAAGCAAAGTAGTAGTAGTAGTAATAATAACTGTAAAAAAAGAAGAACTGACCAAAGTATAATATTTGTGGTATTAATCCAATAGCGTTTCAAGTGAATATTTCATTACTATGATCCAAGTTTATTTATGTCTGGCGTAATCGTTTATTCGAGATGGATATGTTTATTTATTGCATAATTATTTGTTTATGCTCACTCAGGCACGCCGTATATATAGACAGCGAGACAAGTTTTGATTCGTCCGATTTCCTATTGCAGAGTGTAATTAAACCAAAACAGTGAGGAAATAGTTATGTATTGCCAATCAACAGAAACGTCATGTTCACAGCTATGCGTGAGAATTAGAACGAAAGAGATGATGTCAAAACCAGTGTCTACAAGTTGATGAAATAAATAAGACACTGTACCAGACAACCACAATTGCTTTCCCCCCCACTCCTCGACAAAAAATGACTGAAAACCTCCCATACATGCAAGCATGGTATGACTGTATACATGTATTTTTAACGAGTTTATACTACGGTTATTAATATCGTACATTGTTGTTTAGTCTCGGCAGTGCAGCAGCTTGTTTGGTATGTGTGACATGGTTAAACTCTATTCGCTAAGGGGTATATACTTTTGCAGCGGTTTTTCATTTTCTTATTCGTTCAGAAATGCGCTGAGAACGCATCCGGTGAAGGATGTTCCAAACAATGTCGCACTAACGCTGGTAAATATAATGGATATGTTCTGATTTGCGTTGCCAGACTGTTATTCTTTACAAACACTTTGTTCTTCGAACAGAGCTCGCATCGTGTACTGCAAAGCTTATGTCGATTGGTGCTCCCGAAGTGAAAGCGTTGGTTGATATGACCAGGGCGTCATCGGACAAATGTTCTGAGATGTGGTATGTATAGTGAGTGAGTGAGTGAGTGAGTGAGTGAGACTTGAAGGTTTACTTTTTACAAATGGAAGAACGTAACAATTTGCATGCTCGTCACATATAATACTAATCGATGATCTGAACAATTTACATACTCGTCACATACGATGATCTGCAGTGGAAAGGTAATATAATTAGCAAAAGCATGCATTTACTACTTACACACACAAAACAATCAACTAATCCATTTCCATTTTCCATTTGATTAGCATGACAACGACCACTGTCAGGCATGCGCTAACGCTGCTCGGCAACTTGCAGATTCATTGCGGATGTATCAGGAGTCAAACTCTTAACCTGCGGTCGGTTCATAACACATGCTTGGTTTATATAATCATGAATTTGAATAATAAAATCAAATCGTTTATTTGACAAATTTTGATCCAAGACACGCCTGACTACCTTTTTGTAAACGAATGTGTTATATTCCTTTGGCGGTCCGTGCTCAGCACCAAAATACGCCATGTGGGGAATTACTGGAAGGGGTTGTTGGTGGCAAAACTGTGATATTCGATAGTGTGTGCGATGTTCAGATAACCCACCATCTTATGATTTCATAATAATTGTATTACTGTTACATCGGCTTACGCAAGAAAACACAACCCGCAGACTCATCAGTTTCGCTAATTATATTGTTACACATAATTAAACTCAGGAACAGTATTTCCAAATTTGTTGCGATTTTCGTCTTGCGCTCGCAGTTTTTATTGATGTGTATGTCGTGCTGTCAAGTCCAGACCAATGGTCTAGATCCAAAGAATATCCCACTTTTTTTTTTAACCTGCTCCTGTTACCTTTTATGGCATAGTTAACTATGCATATTTTGTACATCTCCCCCACTTTACCTCCTCGATCAGCTCTTATTCTCTAAATTACGCCATTCTTCATATCAACACAACTACTGCTGTCTCTACTATCTTCTACTCTCCCTATATCATTACCTTCCTCATTCAACCGTTTTCTTGTTCAATGTTTGCTGTGACCACTGTTTCGCAGAGATAATTACCCCAATGTCAAATCTTTCAGACGCAATAGACGGAGACTCGGGGGACTCTGGTGAAGAGATACCAGTGACGGAATTGGTATATTCCTTCGATTGGTCAACTACTCCATTGGGTCCAATGAGCGATTGGCCCGCATGGCTAAAGTCGACTGTTGTAAGTAATGCGAACGAAGAAAGTGGACGGTAGCTGCCGAAAAAAAAGAATGAGTTGTTTGTACAAGATATCAATTAATAGGAAAAGAGACCTCGGGAATGTGATTTGAATGTGAATTCGTTACCAGCAATTAATTGAATACTCATCTCAAACTCAATTGTTTTTCTAGGACCTCTGCCTTCACTCGGTATTTCCTATCGGATTGTACATTGGACCAGAAAAAGTTCTTATTTACAATCAAAGTAAATGACCATATATACTGTATTTCTTGTTAGTTGCATGCATGATCTTGAACTCTCGCTTTATCAATGCGCATACATGCTAAGATCACACTGTTTTCCATCGATTTATCTAGTGTGGAGACCTATTCTGAAGCGCAAGCATCCAGCTGGTGGGTAATAATCTAAAGTAATCATATGAACGGTTATGTTACATGTCATGTTTACTCTACTTTCATTCATATAGCATTAGGCACGTTGGCTTCGGAGACCTGGTCTGAAATATATGATGTTTTAGAACCATTATTTGACGAGTATGTATCACAACAATAGTATCACACGTTAAACAGGGAGGGATCTTCATCACTTACGAGTGCCTTACACTCTTTCTTATACCACCCATAGGGTTTTCACAACGGGAAAAGGTCAATTCAATGATGATTTCCTTTTGTACATGAATCGATCTGGTTACGTAGAGGAAGCATACTTTTCCTTTACATTAAGTCCAATGTTTACTGAAGATGGGAAAGTTGGAGGTATATTCAATGCTGTGCAAGAAACTACACAAAGAGTTCTTATGGCTAGGAGACTCAAAACTTTGGGTGACTTGGCTAATGGAACACAAGGTACTGATCTCATATATTTTACTCGTGTTCTGTATATGTGTTTGTATATTATATGTCATACTCATTCAACATAAATATAGGCGCCAAATCAATCGAAAGTGCCTGTCACTTTACCACTGAAGTATTCCGAGAAAACGACATGGATATTCCATACGCTATAATATATCTCGTCGAAAATGAAAAAGTGGGTTCTGAATTTAAACCAAAAAATGCGCGTCTCGAAGCTACAACTTTTGATAGTGAACTAGCAGTTATCAAAGGAGCTGATGGAACCGAAGAATATCTGTTTGTCCATGGGCAATCTAGAAGAGATCTGCCCGAAGTGTTACCAAAGACTCCAGAATTGATTGATCTGACCGACGCTGAAACTTCGGATAACAATATGGTTGAAAACAATAGAGAGATTCCTGCATCTGAACCGTGGCCTTTGGCACTTGCTGTATTCAAAAACGATAACGTGACCATTAAATTGTCCGATAATTCGCTAGCTGTGCTGTGTCCAGTGATTACCACGTCTGCTGGAAAAAGTTTCTTGACTGCTCTGATGATATGTGGCATTAGTAAACACAGAGCTCTTGACAGAGAGTACGAGGAATTTTTGCATGTATGATTGTCGATATCTTTTTATTATGTACCGTAGCATATGCTGTACGAGAGCTCTCAACCTCAAAAATTCGTGTATACGAATTTAGGACCATGTAATTCGATCATAAAAAACTGATTGATTTTAAGAGTCTGAGAATAAGTTGAGAACTCGCGTACAACATGTGCCTCACATAATGAATTTCTTGTAAATATTTACTGAAATTACTAAAAACCTCTCTTTCCTTTCTTCACTCTTCTCCCACATATGTAGCTGGTTATCGGCCAAGTGAGTTCTAGTTTTACTCAGGGTCGATCACGAGAAGAAGAGCGAAAGCAGGCGGAAATGTTGGCTGACTTGAATCGACAAAAGATTGCATTTTTCCAAAACATTAGCCACGAATTGCGCAGTACGTCTTTATCAATATAGCAATCTGCAATTTTTTTTGGAAAAGGAAATTTTGCCAATTAAATTACACATATATTCGTCCAGGTCCATTGACGCTTATGCTTTCACCGTTGGAAGAAGCGATGGAGTTATGTCCAAAGAATGCTCCGATATTTGCTCATCTCAAATTAATCCAAAAGAACAACCGAAGATTGCTCAAACTAGTAAACACTCTTCTTCAGGTAAATATGTTATTGCATAGTGTGTATACGCGTCAATTACGCAAGAACTTGTTGGGTTAACATTTATTTCTCAATAAAAACTAGTTTTCTCGTATAGAAGCAGGCCGACTTCAAGCATGGTTCTGCTCTGTTGATATTTGTAGCCTGACTTTGGAATTAGCATCCAATTTCGAAAGCACGAGTAAATCATTTGGCCTTTATTACAAGTTTGAAATACCTAGTGATGAGGAACTCTCCAAGCAGTTAGAACAAAAAGTCTTTTTGGACGAGGAAATGTACGAAAAAATTGTATTTAACTTGTGTAAGTGATCAACCAGTTGGTGTTAGTCATTGTGAGCCATACAACGTAATTGCATTCATACGTGATTTTATTCTAAACTTTTTTTTTTTTTCATTTAGGCTCGAATGCATTCAAACATACATGGACTGGTGGAGTAACTGTCCGATTGTTTGTAGAGCCCAAAAACGGTAAAGAAGGCGTTATACTAGAAGTAGCAGATACTGGTATAGAATTCAATACAAATCTGTTCTTTTATTTGCACTGGCGGCGACATAATAATAATAATCGCTATTGGTTTGAATCAACCGTCTAAGGTGTGGGCATACCCGAAGAACATTTAGGCAATCTATTCCAACGCTTTTATCGTATCGAATCACGACAATCGCGCAGCCACGAAGGGACAGGCATCGGTCTTGCTCTAGTCAAAGAATTGGTTATAAAACACGGTGGCGATATTTCGGTTACGTCCAAAGTGGACGTCGGCACTACTTTCCGTATTTGGTTTCCTACCGGATGGGATCATCTTCCGTCTTCGCAGGTTCATTTCAATACCGAAAAGTCCTCAGTTAATCCAAACTATGCGCGCGACAAACAACTTTACTCGAACGCGGAATTGTACTTGGAGGAATGTATGCAATGGATCCAGCATTCAAAGCCCACACAGTTTGACGATGAGAGCGATCCGATGTTGGTCGATGATGGGTCCGCATCACAACAAAAAACGGACGAGTTATCGGTGTTGTATACTGAACCCGATTGCTTCGAGTCTGACAATGTGAAAAAATGTGTTCTTGTTGTTGATGACAACACGGATATGAGGTATGTTTGATTCAATACACCTTTTTTTTTAATGGCAAAAGTTTGCTTTGGAAATTTCACTGACGGCTTTGTGAATCTTAGGAACTATTTAAAGAGTTTGATCAAGCGACAATTCGATTGTATCTGTGCTGTTGATGGTTGTGACGCGCTCCGAGTTATAAAAAATTCACAACGACTGCCGGACCTGATTCTTAGTGGTGAGTTTGCTGTGCGTACGTGTTTTGGAGAATTTTGTTTGCCTGACTGAAAAATCCTATTTCGTTGGATTAGATATTATGATGCCCAATATGAACGGCTACGAATTGCTCGCTGCAATACGCAACAATCCTAGGATTCAAATGATTCCGGTTATTCTATTATCGGCTCGAGCAGGAGAAGAAGCTAGTGTCGAAGGTAACAACAAATTTTAGATTTTTAAAGTTGTCTTTTTACAGTTTTTTTTTAATACCATGTCTTTAAAACTGTAGGATTGGAGAAGGGTGCAGATGATTATTTAATTAAACCATTCAATGCTCGTGAACTCTTGGCTCGCATCCGTGCAAACATCAAACTTTCTCATCTTCGTCGTCAGCTTCTCGCGGAACAACGACGTCAATCTGAAACCAAGCAACTGTTATTTACAATCAGTAGCAAAATTCGTTCTGGTTTTGGAATACAAGAAACTCTTGACACTGCCATTGTGGAAGTAAAGAAGATTCTGTCATGCGATTCTTTACTAATTATTGACAGCATTGTGATAAATGACAAGATAGCCTGCAAAGTAATGTCTGCTTCATTAAGACCGCAAGACGATCCATCGAAAATTGTCGGGGGTGTGTTCCATCATTTTTCGTGTGACAAGTATATATCCAAATCCAAGAAAAAGAAGAATACATGCTCTGATTCAACAGACGTACAGTACGACGAATACGAAGAACTAGGTCTACTGGAAGACGATGAATTGCATGATTCTCGTGACTTGGAAGTGGATATCAGTTCAGACTACGAATCGCAAGTTATATGTCGGCGCGTGTCTATTATTAGCGTAGCTATTCGTCTAAAATCATCTCTTTGGGGATGGATAGTGGCTCACCAACGCCCAGGCTATATCTGGACGGAATCGGAAAAAATGTTTTTACAGCAGGTCTCGAATCAAATAAGTTTGGCTATAAGTCATGCCATACTTGTCGAAGAGAAATTAAAACGAGAGGCTCAAATGGAGGCTGCCAAAGAGGCGAACAAAGCCAAAAGTCAGATACTTGCCAATACGTCGCATGGCAAGTATGATTTATATTGTTATAATGTTATTTGAATACCGTTCATCATAAAGTAATAAACTCTTTTTTTGTTATAGAACTTCGTACACCATTGGGTGCAATTATTGGCGCACTCTCTGCATTCGAAGGAACACCTCTTCGACCTGACCAACGAGACATGGTCGAAGTAATGACTCGCGCTTCCGATGTTGTCCTATCCGTAGTCAATGACATCCTAGATGCTGCCAGACTGGAAGCGCAAAAGCTTACATTGATAAATCGCACTTTCGATCTAATCGAGCTTGTAGAGAAGAACATTGCAATGTTTGGCGAGCGTGCCGGTTCAAAGGAGATGGAACTAATATTTCTATACGAACCAAGAGAATCTCCTAAATATGTAAAAACCGACCCAGAGAGGCTACAACAAGTGATAATGAATCTATTATCCAATGCGTAAGGATTTCAAACTCTTTTTGCTGTTACTAGTGCTATGTAATATGCGCTGATTCTAACATTTCTTCGTGTGCACCCAGTATTAAATACACTGAAAAAGGCAAAGTTGAAGTACGGCTGTCAATAAGAGACCGTTGTAGCGCTGTTGCTGGGGAGAATCGTGATAATAGCACTGACAGTAACGATAATAACAACACTGGCCATCTGCTTATAGAAATAATAGATACCGGTATAGGGTAAGAGAACAGGATTTTGTTTCGTATTTATTTTTGCTCTTTTTTTTTTTCCTTCATAATTCTTATGATTGAAAAATTATTAGTATTGATCCGAAGGAAGCGCAGCACATATGGAAGAGCTATGCACGAGGAGACGCTTCAATGACTCGTCGTAGGGATGGCGCAGGTCTAGGCCTCTCGATAAGTAAAAGTCTGGTTGACCTGAATGGTGGTACCCTCGGTGTTGACAGCGAGCTTAACAAAGGAAGTAGATTCTGGTTCACCTGGAACTTTGAGCATTTGTCTCTGCCAACAATACCAAAGTTAAAAACACTACCTTGCAGCTCACATGATCAGCAGAACTGGCAGGGAACCGAAGAATCTTTGACGAAGCGTGTTCTTATTATTGATCCTTTTGAAGCAACAAGAACTGCCTTTACGACCATGATAAGCGATAGCGTCGGGAAAGTATACGAGTACGCCGACTACCAAACTGCGATCGAAGCAGTCAGAGAGTATGGAAAGAACAATAGTGGGCCTATGTGTAATTTTGCATTTTTCAGTGTGGGAGAGAAGAATGCTAAGATGGTTGAGGATACTGCCAAGGAGCTGAAGCGGCTCTGTGGAGAAGATCGATTGTCAATTATATTACTGATATTCTGGTCATCTAGTGGACGCACTATTGGGAAGAAACTGATTGAGAATTTAGGAAAAAACGTCGCGGCCATTTGTAAACCTATAATGCAAAAACGTATACTAGACTGCATTTCTCATTTTGACTTGTACGTGACCAGGCCATCGGATGAGAATGCTACAGGAATCGAAGAGGATAATTCAGCAATGTATAGCATATTCTACAATCATAATCGACCCACAGCTGCATATAATTTATCGAATTTGAGAGATTCAGATGAACCAACTGTAATTCGAGGTGTTGCAGGTAATGAAAGAGAACGCAAACCCGAGACCACTCACCGCCCAACAAAGAGATCAGCTACCAGTGAATGGAAGGATCAAACCGATGCTGAAGAACCGGAGAGCAAGTCAAGGAATAGAGTTGTGAATGCATCCAAATGTGTACTCTGTGTGGTAATTAAGCTACTGAATACTTTTTGTTTGGTCGCATAAACGTTTACTAGTGGTTACTAATATTTAATCGAATGTTTATTGCTCCAGGAGGATAATGCCGTTAATCTTAAGGTGGATTATTCAAGGCAAGGATTGTTTATTTTTAATGGATCTCGAGTCCTAATACAGTCATTATTTTGTAGGTTATTAAAGCTCAATTGAGTAAGCTGGGATATCAACATTTGTCAGCAGTAAACGGTAAGGAAGCTGTCGAAGTAGTGAAGAAGCAATATGAGCAGAACCTGTTTGCTTCTTCATCCGGTAGTTCGGAACCCGAGAAAATATCATTAATTTTGATGGACTGTGCAATGGTAAGGTCTTATAGCTAATATTTTTTGTCGCCTCAACGGACCATATTTTATGGAATTTTTTTATTAATTGTATTCTGTCATAGCCTATAATGTCAGGGTTCGAAGCATCGCAAGCAATAAGAGCGATGGGTCCGGAACTTCAAAATCTTCCAATCATCGCGTTGACTGCATCTGCGATAGCAGGGACTAAGGAGCAATGCTTAGAAGCAGGCATGAGTGACTATCTAACTAAGCCACTCAAGCTGCAGACATTGAAGGGGAAGTTACTTGAATGGTTGGGCGAGAATTAATTTATTATTTAGACAATCATAACGAACGTTAGAACTGAAATAAGTCTTAAGCTACCAATGGACTGTATGATAAACTTAAACTAGTTGATAGTACATGTACGAATGTGCAAATGTATATAGTTAATAATAAGTCTATTTTTGGAACCAAGCTTTCTTATGCTGAATTGTGAGCAATGCTCATTTAAATATGATTAGGGAAGAAAATAAATGCCAATAATCATCTGTGTGAACCATTGGCTTATTCGTAGCAGAATATATTCCCTTCTCCATAGCCAATGTTTTCCATGTGTGACTTCATATCAGCATTAAATGAACGAGGGCCGCATATTAGTATTTGACATTTGTCGCATCTCTTTATTCTGTCAAGGAGTGTATAGAGCAGTTCTCTGTTTAGTTTACCGCGGATGTATCTACCATCGTTATTTATATGCTCGGTCTGCGAGCGGGGAAAGAATAGATTAATCGAAGTTTAGGTAAAAGGTTATCCAATAAATAATAAAAGTTACCCGTGTCAACACATAATCGGTTGTTAGATAATCCTCTTCATTTTGTTTATCCAATTCACTTTTCAACCATATATCGTGTTCAGTCCGATTGACATATACAAGATGAATGGCTGTTCTCTCAGTTGTAGGGATTGTTGATTGTTTAAGGATAATTTGATACATTGGGGTAATGCCTACATGGGCAACATGATTAATAAAAACACGTTTCTATAGTAATTTTTGGTGATACATTATTGAGTAAATCACCTGAACCAGCCGCGAGCATGACAATTTGTTCATTCTATGGCGAGAATTAGATGTTAGTATCGAGAATATGCAACTCTAGCATTACAATAAGACTGAAAAAGACTTTACATCATACTACACTTACAGAGTTATTAGTGTGTTTAAATCCACTCATTATGGGACCCCTCATATATATTAAATCATTAACGCGCAGTGACTTCAAATATTCAGATGGCTTATGATCGTTATAAAGCTGTGCTCCCAAATTGGACAGCATGGTCAAATTGTTTAGCTCACATCAAACCGCTACTAATCATTCCAGCATAGATTATACCTTCACCATAAGATGAAATTCACCCAACACAGATGGATGAGTAATTGGCGTAAAAGCTTTTGTGATTGTCTCGTTGCCAAGTTTCATCCTATTACAGTAATGTTGTCTTATTAGTGCAGAAGTTAATCATCTATACGAATACATTGAATTCTAACCTTATTAGCACATGCTCTCCATCCTCGATTCCAAGACTTCTTTGCTCTCTGCTACTAGATAATGGTACCTTCCCGACAATTAAGATAGTGTCGTGACTTATCTGAGATTTCTCAAGAACTTTATATCCGATGTATTGTTTTCGGCTAGTGACTTTATCAGCAGCCGAGTTCCGCAAGGGTAGTCTTAGTGATTCGAGATCCACAATTGAGTTGTCGTTCTTGCATATTTTGGTATACTCTTTTCTCAGCATGTCAACCTGTTCATTATGAGCTTGCAATTCTTCGCGATATACATCAAAGACACATGGAGTACAACCGTTACTGCAGCAGTCTGTTGGAGTTGGCTCGTCGGGTGGAGATGGAAGCTGTAATTGAGGCTTATCGAATTGGAGAAGAACGAGTCAATAATGAGCCAATAGGGCGATAACAGACAGTAATAAATTTAGCGATAACCTTTCCGTCTTCATCATAATAAATTCCAATTGGATGATCTCGTCGTTTTGTTTGAGAGGCCTTTTTAAGAGCTATCGATGATTTCAACAACTCCACTTCCTCCAAATATTTCTGTATTACAGGATTCATGAGGAAAAAATGCGGTGTGTATGTTCACTTGGGAAGTATAAATGGAGCATCTCGAATATGCCAAAATCATCGATCCAAATCTTCGTTGATTCATCCTTTGAGCGAATCATGATCATCATAATGGGACCTGCGATGAAACCATGTGACATATGCGAATGGCTGCGTGACGGCTTTGGAATGAAGAAGAAAAGTGGAACATTATTACTGAATCGATGCATTCATGGAGCGTCAGCATTTTATTGATTTTACGTGACGCAGTAAACGTATCAGCGTGTTTATTTGGCTGTTCAAATATTCATCTATGGTTATTTGCTTACTCTCACGTTTTAATAACTCTTTATCCTTTTTGTACATTCTATCCAATCGTCTCGTAGATATCTCCAATGTAAAATCACGGGCGTGCAATGGGTATAATTTCGTCCAATTAAAAAAATTTTCCAATCGTATAAATACCCCAAATAGCCGCCCTCAATTTTTTTTTTCACCTTCAATCAGTAGGAAAAAAACTTTACCTGTATACAAATCCACCTCGGTGGAGGCGTAAGCAAGTAAAGGATAATTTCCTTTGACATTAAATGATGAACATGGCATGTATTACCTGATAATATAATGATTAGGAAAAGACTGGCATGCGACAAGCCGCTTCTGATAATAAAGAAGGAAATTACTTGCTGATTGAAAGGTTTTTTGAGTGGATAACAGCAGTTTTTCGGTTGTTGAAAACGAAAGAAATAAAGTGAAATGTCTTTATCAAAACTTATCAACGTTGAATTTGTATTTATTGACTGTTTGCATGCATGAAAACCGAGTGAACGTAATGTCGCATTGAAATTTCGTCTTCCTTCACAATCTTATGTATTGCTGGAATAGGTAGTTCGATCGATCTAATATCCCTATATGAAAAGTTCCATCATAAATTGGGGACAAAAGTTCTACAAACTTAGAGCCGTTAATCGATAACCCTAAAATATTTCTATTGATCAATGCGTTATCGCCGGCGAAGATTCATAACTGTTCCGTGAGCTATCTGGCCGTCTACCCTTTTACCATAATGTCTACTGGCATTGCCCTCATCTTCCGCCAGAGGAAAAATAACGTTCTTGTTGAACATGTATGTTCCTTCATCTTGTGGCGAGTTTGATGACGAAGTCAACACTATAAATGTCACCTGCAATAGGAATGTGCTGGATAACTCTATTCCATTGCTTGCATGTAATGTTTCCTCATTTCATGAGCAGCTATTAAAAGTATAGATCCATCTATTTTGTAGTTACGTGTAATACGGTTAAGGATACCCTAACACCATACATATCCATTAAACGTCTGTAACTATGCCTTCGCCAGCATGTCAATAGATTTCCCGACTCTCAATTACTAACACTAAATGGATCGCATGCCCATAAATCGTTGGATGACTCATACAATAGATACTAATATCACCTTCACAGAATAACAAACTAATCTATTGCAAAAGATGATATACTTACATGTGAAAAAGAAGTACTTTTTACTTTTGCTCGGCAGAAGGCAAGTGTTAATTGTGATTAGCGTTGTTACGTCATTTCCAGGGGTACCCCCTTGATTGGCCTTCGAATTTGTAATAATAAAAGAGGAAATTATATCTTGGTTTGTTCTCTCTATAACTTAATCATGGTAAGAGAAAGTCTTGTAGTTCTGAAACACATGATCGGATCATTAGCAAAGAAGTAATAAATTAAAAACCTGTGTCAACAACGCAATGGATTGGGAAAATGACTATGAGTATTCATCGATGTTAACGTAAGACTATCATACTCTTTTCTCTAACACGAAGGAAACACCTCGCTCACGTCTACGCCGCCGGAACTCAAATGTGTTTGCCATATTTGATGACAAGCAAATTATTGAATTCCAAGAGGCCTTCTCAGTGATCGATGTTGATTCTGATGGTTATATCGATAAAGAGGACTTGAGAGACATGTTGCATAGTTTGGGTAAATTGTCGATATAGGGTGATGAGGCTTGTGTAGAAGTAGGAGAAACTCCTTGTAATTTCATACCTTTCTTTCTCTTATTATTGCGTCTAATTTGCTTAGCATTGCCATCCTCACTGTTGTTTTTCTTCAGGTGAACATCCGACGGACCACTACTTGGATGATATGATTAACGAAGCACCCGGAAACATTAACTTTGCCACTTTTCTCACTCTCATGGCGGGGAAGCTATGCGCAACAGATACAGAAGAGGATCTAATGAAGGCTTTCGAGATGATTGACGAGGAAAGGAAGGGAGTAATACCCGTCGATAGATTCAGATACATGATGACTAGGATGGGTGATCGGTTTACGGACAAGGAGGTAAGAAATATGTGAGGTTTAAAAGAAGAATATGCACTCTGTTATTATTTCTGGATAGGCATTTGAAGCAATTATATTAATATTTGTACTGATTTTCAGTTCGAGGCGATGACAACAGGAGTAATTGACTCGAGAAATAATTTTCACTATCGTGATTTTGTGAGAGCGCTGAAGCATGGGAATATTGATAAGTAATTTATTCACTATTCGATGATACCTGGTAATCAATTCTTTGAACTAGGTGACAATCTATCTTTCCGTCGTGGTCAGGCACGTAAAGGACTCTGTATTTGTATAACTAATATATAAAAGATATGTACAATACTGTTCAAAAGTGACCGTACACCCCTAATTCGGGACAGGAATAAATGCTTTGGAATTCCCCTGCGTATAATGTATTATAAACCCTAATTACTTGTAAAATTTTAGCTCTCCGTAAATTATCAAAGACCAAATATCTTCCTTTCGACATACCCATGCACGATTTCGGCCATAAATTCAGAAATTCACTTACTTCAACATCATCAGAATGCGTGAACAAATTGCTGTGTGGGTCGCTACTTGCACAATTGGAAATAATATAAGAAATTATAGCAATATATTTAAACATTTAAGAAATTGGTAAATGAAAGACGCAACCGAGCGTCAATAAAGCTACCCACCAGGTTACTATTGGCTCAGACCGCTTAGTCGCGACAAATTTGAGAAAAAGGTGCAAAACGCGTATCCATTATATCGACTTCTCATATTAAAGTACACCATATTGATAGCTTGTTCTCTCGATATGTAGTATGAGGGAAAATCATTATCAAACTTTGTGTTCTGAAATACGTCGATAAACACGAGGCATGATGATTTAGTTAATATTTATAGCAAAAATTTTTGTAATGTTATAATGCTTGTGAGATAAGAGGAAAGAAAACGCTGTTCCGTTTAGGGTGAAAGGCAAGCTTATTTTATGAATAGATTTATTTAAGTTAATGAGATAATCGAATAACTATCGACCATAATCCAAGTCGAAAAAGTTAATAACGCTGGACATTTACAAATTACTTTCTCTTCATGTCAACGTATTGTCCATCTTGTCTTTATACCTGAAACTCAATTGATATCTCATAACTATTTCTCGGTTTAGGCAAATCTCCGGTATGTAAGATCTTACTAGAATATTTACTCTCCTTCTCGAGACGTGATAAGGGCGTGACGTCATTATGATAAATGGCATTCCATGCGTTGTCATCCTTGTTCACCTCTTTAAGAAGGAACTGAATATCTATCCAAACCGGCCATGCTTCTGGACGCTTGTCAGGATCAGCATCTCAGCAAATTTTTTATATTCCCCTGGTACCTAATCAGGCATCGATGGTCGTAGTCCACCCATAATATCGCATACTAAATCTCTATCAAACTCTCTATCTCTAAAACCGGTGGCGATTAAATACATAATAATAAGTCTGATTCCTGAGTAAATTTGCAAGTATGAAAGACTTCCGGTGCAATAAAGGGTAAAATGCCCCGAATGGTTGGACTTGACTCGCGCGAATTCACCGATCGAGAGAGACCAAAATCGCATATGAATGATTTACTTATACGAAAGTCTTTTTCTGTCTCCGACGTATTGTCATGCAAAAGTATGTTTCCGCCATGAAGATCGCAATGCACAATTCCTGCATTATGAATATAACCCAGATGAAGAGCAATATTAGCTAAATACTCTAATTTCATCTTCCACGTCAATTTGTTAATACTTTGACCCAAATAAGACAAAAGACTTCCATTGTTAGCATATTCCATAATACTGATGTTTCTGGGTCTTGTGTGTATCCATGAATTTCAAGGAATCGTGCATGTCAGTTTGTGTACTTGGCATAATTATGATTTCTGAACTATAATAATAAAAATATCAGGTTAAATATCCGATTCAGTTAATAATATCAAAGATCTTACCTCGGAAATAAATAATTCCGGCATCTGATCAAAAATGTTAAAGCGCTTCAGAACAACAATTTCTGACATTTGCTTTATTTTCGAATACTTTTTATATTTGGCAGTATAAATCGTTCCATATCCACCGGATCCAAAAGATGTTGTGAACTGGAAAACCACAAGAACCAGAAGCAGTATCAATCATAAATTCTCCTTTTTTTGGATTTAACATTTTTACGCACAATCTTCTTAACTTCACAAAAGTCGCAGTACTGCATATACTTTACATGCCTAATACGCTGTACAAATCTATCCAGTATGTATCTCATGATAAAACACCAAATAATGTTTATGTGTAGATGGTTCTTGGGTAATTCCGATTATCCAAATATTGTCTGGTGTCAAGATCGTTGGGTATTCCTTAGTTATCTATTTGAGTAAACAGAAGATACAGTCAAGTATTACAATAAATCAACGACTTAAACGTGCGAACAATTGTTATTGATACTATTCGCATTGTTTCGCATGAAATAATTTACCTGATAAAAGTCAAATGCCTGAGCATCCTGTTCATCGGCTATTTTTTTGAGTGTCACTCTTGTCGGTTTTATTACCGTTACTGTTCCTACTACCCAATCTGCTTCTGTTGTACATGCCAAACATACCCCGTCTTGTTCTCTTATTAGATAATACTTTTCTTGTCTCGTGTTGTAAGTAAATCCAATAGTAATCCAAGCA